CATTCAAAGAGACTTAGGCATTTTCTCATTAATTTTAATATGCTCCCTCAAGATTTTGCTGAAATGGCGCCACTGGTATAAAAAGAAATCAAACTTATATATATATGTATTATTAGAGAATCGTATCTCTATCACGTATCCTGATACTGGCAACATTGAAATGGCAAAACTTCCAATTAAAAAAACAAAAGTAACGAATGTTGGAATGATAAGAAAATAGCTTTTTAAATTACCATTAACATCTGTTTGCATTACTGTTTAGAAAAGAAATATTTTCTAAGACATTCTTTGATAGATTGTTTAGGCAGAGTATTCATGATGAAACTTTGTAGAATAGACGGCAACTGCCTGTTGTAGAGATACAAGTGTAGAGGACGACGTTTCGAAAGTCTTCCGCCTTTCGTCTTCAGGTCAGTGTGTGTGTGTGTGTGTGTGTGAATAGCAGTTGATTTGATTTGAAATTAATTATTTCAGAAGAAATAATCAATAATGAGGGGCGCTCGAAGATTAAGCAATCCTCCTTCTCCCCCGCAGGTGGATTAGAGGTGTGGGTTGATTTGGATAATATGTTGAATGAGCAAAGTTTGATAAGTTTACTAAACGGATCAGCGGATAGACTAAAAAACTAACGCTACTAATACCAATAAACGACCGATCTTGGACATCTGGTTCTTTAGAGCGGCGGGGATCTATAAATCCAATGCCAAAAATTTGATGTGAGGGAGGAAACGGGAGTACCCCGAGAAAACGCATTTTCACTGGTAAGGCGCCAATCCATTACCAGTGCTCGGTTAACGAAGAAATAAATAAATAAGGGTGGCAAAGTGAAAGGTGGTGCAATGGAGTAATTAATACTTCGAGGAATTTTTGAGTCTTTGGATATTGGGAAAGAGTTTGTTTGTGTTCGGGAGGGGTTTTGTCGGCGTGGGGTCTTCTTGGTCGCTGGTAGGTATGTAAAAAGCGGAGAAAGGTTCATTGGATACGTCGTATGACTTAGTGGGAGAATCGGCGGAGATGTCAATAAATAGAGTATTGGGTGAGTTTGACGAGGAGAGGTGGGTCTGGCTTGAGTGGCGGGAATGGTGTTAGATGAGACAGAAGATTCATTTGTTGCGATTTTTCAGTGTTTTGGGGTTGTGGTTTGACTTCGCAATTAGTTCACAGTCGCTCATCTCCAACACAAATAACTTTAAAGTACTAGAACACAACGCAGACGATCACGACCTCATCTCCTTTACCGTGAATACCTACCCCCGCAACGTAACATCAACCCCACATCCAAAAATGATCGACTTCACAAAAGCAAATTGGGACCAAGTAAAACTAATTACTGATTTACTCTTACCTGACGTTAAACCATCAGCTAATTGCTCACAAGATATCGTTTGTTTGTAATTAAGCACAAAGCTACACAATGGGCTATCTGTGCTCTGCCAACCACGGGTATCGAAACCCGGATTCTAGCGTTGTAAGTCCGCAGACATACCGCTGTGCCACTGGGGGGAACAAGATTTCGATAACTACGTTGCAGAAATTTCAAATGCAATCAACAAAGCGATTGAAAGCACCATTCCAACGAGACAGAAAAATTTATATACTAATCACTGGCAGTCAGATACAGAAATCAATGCATAACAACATAAAAAAATTGAAGGCCCTTGCGCAGATAATTCATTCAAACAAGAGACGCAACTCTTAAATCCTTAATGAATAACACGAATAACCAAATCCAAAAATTAATTGCAACACAACGTAAGGAACACTGGCAAAGCTTCTATCAACCAATAGGCAAGATCCGGCTAAATTCTGGAATATTTTCAAAGTAGTTTGCAATGACAAATCCGTTCAGTCAAAGCACACAATAAAATACAGCAACATCACAGCAGCCACAGACGAAGAGAAAGTCAAATTTTTCTGCGACTATTATTCCACGGTCTGCACCACTCCCAACATAAATTTACGCCAAAGTGAATAATTATGTTCAAGATAATGTTGACATGTTCACACCCACTTTTGCATCAATTCTAACAACCCATACACAGAAAACAACATCACAAGACTTTTCACCAAAGCCGAAATCAAAATCAACATTAAGAAACTAAAAAAACACCGCCCCAGGAGATGATGGTATCAGAAACATAACTTTAAATATCGCACTTATCAACCACATCATGGCGCTGTTTAACTTATCCCTAATATCAGTTTATCTCTCGACAATACGAAAATCTGCAATAATTAGCATCATCCCCCCAAAAAAGTAACGACCCTAGCAACTACCGACCAATAAGCTTGCTAAACAGCATAGGTAAGTCATTGGCGAAAATAATCCCAACAAGACTGCTTTATCACTTAGAATCCAACAAGCTCCTTTCCGACACACAAAACGCTTTGCGTAAACATCGACAAACAATTGATTATTTAGCCAGGTTATTAGAATCACTACAAAAGGGTTTGATCGTAATCAAGCAACAATCGGAGTTTTCCTGGATGTCAGGAAAGGTTTCGATTCCGTTTGGCACAATGGCCTTAGATATAAGTTATGTAACTACAAAATACCCACCCCAATTATTAGATGGATATTGCGTAAACATCGACAAACAATTGATTATTTAGCCAGGTTATTAGAATCAGTACAAAAAGGGTTTGATCGTAATCAAGCAACAATCCTGGATGTCAGGAAAGCTTTCGATTCCGTTTGGCACAATGGCCTTGGATATAAGTTATGTAACTACAAAATACCCACCCCAATTATTAGATGGATCTCAAGCTGTCTAACTAAATAGAACTACTAAAGTTAAGATAAATAATAATAATAACATGTCACTGTTATTCCCACTTAAAGCTGGGGTCCCCCAAATATCAGTATTAAGCCCGTTACGCTACATATTATTTGTAAATGACATAAATTTTCCGGAGAATCCAGAAACTAAAGCTTCCCAATACGCCGATGTCATCGCCGTATGGAACACATAACGCGACCCCCTACTAGCAACAAACAAAGTACAAGCAACTCCAAACCACATCGTCACGTGGTTCAACACTTGACGCGTGCTTCTTAACCCACATAAAACTCAAGCCATTATCTTCAACCGCAAGCTTAAGCAAAACAGGAAGAAAATCGAGAACGTTAAACTCAGTCTATATGACAAGTAAATAAAATTCTCAAGTCAAATAAAATTTTTAGGTTTAACCTTCAATAAAAAGCTAACATGGGACACACATGTATCACAAATTATAATAAAAGCACAACAGCGGATAAACTATCACAAAAAAATCGGCGGTTACAATAAAGGTTCCAACGCAAAAACAATAATGATAATATACAACGCTTACATAAGGCCGATTCTGGAATATGGATGTCCGGTAACATGTTGCTTGCCACAATATATTTACAATAAACTTGAATCAATCCAACTAAAAGCAATTCGTACTGCCCATCGTCTCCCCGTCTACACCCCTAGCTCATATTTACATAAGATAAGCAAATCAACGACATTACAAACACGCTTCTCAACCCTACCAAACAAGTATTCTAATAAATCCAAAAACAGAAATAACCTATACACAAAACTCGCCAATATTGTAGAAACACCAGCCTCATGGAACAAATACATCTTTGCCAATATTGCTGAAACACCAGCCTCATGGAACAAATACATCTTTGCCAATATTGCTGAAACACCAGCCTCATGGAACAAATACATCTTTGCCAATATTGTAGAAACACCAGCCTCATGGAACAAATACATCTTTGCCAATATTACTGAAACACCAGCCTCATGGAACAAATACATCTTTGCCAATATTGTTGAAACACCAGCCTCATGGAACAAACACATCTTTGCCAATATTGTTGAAACACCAGCCTCATGGAACAAACACATCTTTGCCAATATTGTAGAAACACCAGCCTCATGGAACAAATACATCTCTCCCCTAAACCACATCATCTCACAAAATGAACAACACTCACTCCAATAACCACCTTGGGCATTTTTACCTAGTGCCCCCTCTCTTTTTCAGGTTACCGACCGGAACGAACAACGGACCAACGTGTTTGCCATTAATGTATATGTAGTAATTTAATTGTAATGTCATATCAAAAATTGTGTTCATGTTCCAGTGCTATGTTTGGTATTTAATGCCAGTGTTTACTGTTTATTTTTTAAGGTGATTTATGAATTATACAGTCTGTTACATGTTAACTTTTCATGTCTTTGTGTTGCAATGAACAATGGTTCTGGTCTTGTGTTCTTTCTGGGACGGGGTGCACTGGCTCTCAGGAGCGTGCTGCGGCGGTCCGGATGCACTGCTCGTGACTAGTTGATCAATCGTCAGACTCGAAGCTCCGATCCAAGTCTCTTCAAAACATCATCGCTTCAGATCTTCTTCACGGCTTTCACCTTTATGATAAATCAATAGAAAAAAGACGCGACTTCTAAATCCACTCAATTTATCATAAGCCAAGAAAGAAATTGTAATTATTTCTGAAAACCCCCAGGTTTAGTCACAAAACCTAAAATAGCTACCAAGATTATCGGATCGGACACACTGACCTGAATACGAAAAGCGGAAGACTTTTGAAACTTCGGCCTTTACACTTGTATCTCTACAATAGGCAGTTGCCATCCATTCTATAAAGTTTCATTTTCTAAGACATATGAAAGGGTCAAATATGTCCATTAAGTTTTAGACGGACACCGAATTAAACTTCTCAAAATATCTAGTTATATGAAAAATTGATAATTTTTTCTTCTAACGTATTTTCATAAAGATTTCCCTGTAATGGTGAAAAGTTGTTTATATACACCTAGTAATTAAATGCAAGCCACCAGTACCACCAGCGAACGGTCGAATTTTGGACGAAGGACGCTACCTACCGGCCAATGTAGTAACCTACACGTGTCACATTGGGTTTGTTTTAATTGGAAGCTCTTTCACTATGTGTAATACTGATGGCCAGTGGTCGCACCCTCCACCCTTATGTAAGTTATTTTTTGTTTTAGTTTGGATTTTAGAAGTAATTTGATTAAAACAAAAATAATACTTTTTTCCATACGTTTGTTTTGAATATAATTTACTCTCTATTTTACTGTGTTTATAAAAAGGTGGTTTTACACGCATTTTAATCAGGCTACGTAAACCACATTTGTATCAAACGTGACACTTATGCAACTATGCTACGCAATAAATGTCGTATTGTAAAAATTCACAGGTAAACGAATGATAATTACCATTTTCGATCAGGTAAAATAAAAGTTAGGAATAAAAGAGAAAATAAGGTAAGTATTTATTATATATATAGGCTCTTTACAAGATAAAAACTATAGTATACAGCTTTAAAGATGAAATTCCAGTTTGGTGAATATGGTGTCGTATTGCACGAATGTGTAACAAGTATCCTAAATAGATCTGATAATATTAAACTCAATAGTTAATTACAGTGTCGTGGTAAACAGAAGAACTAAAACATAATAACTTATCTATGATTCACTAATGGTATATTATTGTAAACACCTGAAGAGATGATAAAAGAGAAAACAAACTTCAGATTACAGCACAAGATAAATTTCGTAGTTACAGGGCGTTCTTTGCATTTTATAGGCTCTCAACAACAGCTCCAGATTCAGATACCATATGAATTGTCTGAAGTGATGACTAATACCTAGTAACAGATAGTCGTTACGTGTAACAAATACTGGTATCAGGCAACTTATCCGTGCATTTTATAGGCCCTCAACAATAGTTCAAATATCATATGAATAGTCTGAAGTGGTGACTAATAGCTAGTAACAGATAGTCGTTACGTGTAACAAATACTGGTATCAGGCAACTTATCCGTGCATTTTATAGGCTCTCAACAATAGCTCAAATATCATATGAATAGTCTGAAGTGATGACTAATAGCTAGTAACAGATAGTCGTCACGTGTAACAAATACTGGTATCAGGCAACTTATCTGGTGGGGCATAAGTGAAAAGTGGTGAGGGAACATAAATGTATTTTTACACCCTGATGTTTTGAGCCCCCTTAAATCTCGCCCTTCCCTTCATCAGCGATCCCTGGGACTGCAAGTATCAAAAAACGCCAAGACAGAGAAGTTCCTTAATTTCTTTAGGTTGTTTTAGAGCAAAGCTACATTAAACTATCGAACCCCGAACTGTAACGTTATAAGTCTCTAAACTTACCGCTGTCCCACCGGGGATATGTTTCTTAGAGTGTTGTGTGAAGAGTTTAATATCAAATAGGTTTTTCATAAAATATAACTAACGTGTGGTGTTTAAGCTTATACCTTCTAAATTGGCCAATAGTGAATTATAATTTTGCTTATCCGTAGTTAACTATCAGTAGAGAAAAATAAGCGAAGTTTACGAAGTTTTTACTCTTATTGAAACTGTTACATAAATGTTACTTAAACGAACAAATTAATATTCTATTGATGTGTAAACGATACATTGTTTACGGACAGCAACTGTCTGGGTGTTTATGACACTGACAATGTTAAAGCCCTCTACTGGTCATCAAAAAATGCTGTTCAAGAATAATTTTCCTGCATTCATATCACGCTGAAAAATAAAACCCTTGAAAGAAACGTGTAATTTGTTATAATGTTGTATTTGAAATCCTCTGATGTAATTCTTATGTATGTAGGATTCTCCTTCTTCCTTACCGATTATTATCTAATTCTTTCTACGGTGAGATAATCCTAGAAAGCTTTTATTTTGAAATATTCAGACCAATGAAATCGACCAAAGGAAAACAGTCGTCGAGGAAGAGCATATAAGTTTTATAATAAACTCTTAAGTTTTTTTTTTTGCAAAACTTTGATATAGCCCCAAAATTGTATGCTGTGACACGCAACCATATTTGTAAATTAGAAGAGTACAAATTAAGAAAATCCCAACACTTTCAGAAATGGGATATAATAAACAGAATTCCATGTAGCAGGAGAAAAATCCATTTACACGGTATTCTAACAACGGTTGAAAAACAATCTTATACGTGACTTAATTTAGCTCCACAAGACATCAATTATAAATCTAAAATTCGTTACTAATACAATTTATTAAAGTGATCAAACAAAACATAACGTTAAACTTTAATTACTATCATTCGTGTAACAATTATATAAGTGAGGATATTAAGTGCTCTAGCAGAATGCCTTGCATCCGTTGAGAATGTTTGTTTATTTTGTTTTTGAGCGCAAGACTACACGATGGGCTATCTATGCTATGCCCACAGTGGGTATTGAAACCCGATTTTGGGCGTTATAAGCCTTCAGACCTACCGTTAAGCCACTGGAAGACTACCTGTTGAGAATTATCTAGACTCTAGAGCAAGTTGCAAAGGTTATAAGCCTAATTATTCTGTTACTAGCAATATGTTGTTGTCAAAGTTAATTAAACCAAATCGTTGGTGTATTTTTTTTTCCATTCGTTCGATATCCTATGTTCCTTTAGAAAACAAAGTTTTGACAAAAATCCTGAAATAATCCGAATTCGAAGTTATAAATCAGCATAGATTAAATTTAAGCTTTTACATCTTCTTCCGATGCTACTTTGGAAAATCCATCAGGCACTTACAACTTCCGGTACCTACCAGCCAGCAACCTTTCCCTGGTGTGGCTTTGCGCGAAATCCGAAAACAATCATGCAGTTGAACGGAGACACCAACTATTTAACACTTTTGGTTCGTCACTGCATATCTTCAAGAAATAACAGTTTAAATAAATATGCCCTTGTTTTTGTTTGGTTGTTTCCTAATTTTCAGTACATCGATTGTATGGTTCTCAAGGGTTTATTGTGCCTAAAACAAAAGTATTTAAGGTTTTATATCAGTAGTTAATGCTTCATGCAGGTTTGTTATTTTCTCTGTCGATTTAGATGTAATTTAATTATATAGTTGTGGATGCGATGTTATTAATTAAGTATTTATAATTTTTCTTCTATTTTTTCCACTCTTTTTTTTCGTATACAATCCAGGCAGACCAGCCTGTGAATTTCCTGGTCAACCTTCTAACGGACGTGTGTTGCCTACTAAATTCCAGTACGATATTGATGAATTCGTAGTTGTGAGATGCAGCAAAGGATTTTTTCGTCTTGGCCCCAGAAAACTCCAATGTACTTCACTTGGACATTGGTCTAGTTCATTGCCTCATTGCAGGCCGTACAGGGATAAATTACTCGGTTAAGAGTTTATATCAGCTGGCTCCATCTTTTGAAGGAATTTTTCTCTACAAAGTAAACGTGTGATGTTTCTCCATTAACTGTTGTTGTTAGACAAATCATTCAAACAGGATGTAATATTTATCACCTTTGAGCCATTTATGCTCTATTTTGTATGTTGTTTTATATATGTATGTGGAAATATTTATTCTAAATAACATAACTTGTCATTTTGTGAAAAGTCCATAATCCCTATGATGTCTTTTTTTTTTGGTAATATTTAACTGCATGGTAATTTATGAACTATATCTATTAATGTATTTCTAAAAATCCCACATCCCTATTGGGATTGTGTTGCTTAAAAAAATGTGAAATTGTATAATTTATTTGTTTTTATATTAAATATTAACAGAAATGTATTGAATTACTTTACTAGAACCGTTTCAGAAATAAATAAAAAATCTTTTTGTTTTAAGAAAACGTTATTTCACTACTGTAATTTTGTTTCAGGTTTTATATAACTAAGTATAACTTAGTTACTAATAAAACTGAATTTATATTTCCAATAGAGGAGCTAGAATTTAGCTATAGCTTATGTACACTTTAAGCTGTTATTGGATTT